GAGCTTTATGCTCTTGTTAGTGCCCTGAAACACTGGAAACACTTTCTCCTGGGCAGGCACTTCAAAATCTTTTCTGATCATTCCACTTTGCAGTGGTTGAAGTCCCAGGGAGAGTTAAATGATAAGTTGGCACGTTACATTCAGTTAATTGATCTGTTTGACTTTGAACTGAAACACAAGAAGGGCTGCTACAACAAAGTAGTTGACGCCCTCTCTCGTAGGCCTGACTCTTTTGCGTTGATCTCCTCTACTCACTCCTTTGGAGAGGAGGTCCGTCAGACCATTGCTCGTTCACTGCCTCAGGATCCGACTTATGGACCCATCGTCAGGAATCTGCAAGCAGATCCCAACTCTGAACCTGGCTATGTCCTGAGTTCAGATCTGCTGTATACTTACAGCAGAGGAGAGGAGCGCTTGTGCATCCCTGAGGATCAGATGCGGACACTGCTGATGTCAGAGTGCCACGACGCGCGTGGACACTTTGGGTTCCTAAAGTCGTATGCGGCCCTGTCGCAGCGCTTCTTCTAGAAGGAGATGCAGAGTGATATGCTGCGCTATGTGGACACCTGTGAGCTCTGCCAAAGGAACAAGGTTTAGCGTAAACCTCCTTTGGGACTGCTCAAACCTTTGCCCATACCTGATGGTCCTGCCCAGTCTGTATCCATTGATTTTACAGACTTAGGCAAGACTACCCCTCGTGGCATGCGTCAGGTCATGGTCTGCGTTGACAGGTTTTCCGAATACGCAGAGGCAAGACTACCCCTCGTGGCATGCGTCAGGTCATGGTCTGCGTTGACAGGTTTTCCAAATACGCAGAGTTCATCCCCTTGCCAGAGGTAGCCAGAGTACCGGCTGTGAGAGCAACCTTCTCTGAGAGGTGGGTCACGCACCATGGACCGCCCACCTCTATTGTTAGTGATCGAGACCCCAGATTCTGCAGCGATGAGTGGCAGTCCTACTGCAAGGACTATCTGCACTCACGCCTGGACATGACTTCTGGTCGTCATCCTGAAGCCAATGGATTGGCTGAAGTGATGAACCAAGTCCTGTTCCAGTTGCTACGTCCTGTGATCTCTCCAGATCAGCAGGACTGGGATCTCCACTTGGCGAGGGCACAACTCATGTATAACATGTCTGTCCACTCCTCGATAGGGTTCAGTCCCTACCGACTACATTGGGGACATGAGCCACGACAGCCTCTCGATGATATCATCGACAAGGCTAAGCCTGACCTTACCCCAGGCACTGCAGAGTTCGCCAGACGCTATCGTCTGGATGTGGAAAGAGCCCGAGCGAACTTGTTCAAGGCCCAAAAGGCCATGATTGAACAAGCAAACCGCCACAGGCGGCCTTCCCCCATCCACACTGGTGACTATGTCTGGGTGGCCACTTCTGAGTTGTCGAGGGAGGAGGATATTTCTCCCAAGCTGTTGCCGCGCTACCTGGGTCCGTGGCAGGTTCTAGATACAGTGGGCACTGATCCCTTCGGTCCGTCGTACGTCATCGACGTTCCGCTGCATTTACGAACGTATCCGGTATTTCATGCATCTAAGTTGTTGCCTTTTACGCCAGCGGATGCATTCCCTGACCGGCCCCCTCAATGGGGCCCACCAATCCCTGGCAAGGGATATGATGTGGTGGCCATTGAGGATGAGTGGGGCACTGGCCCCGACCGGCAGTACCTTGTCAGGTTTGCATTTCAGCCCCCTTCTGAGAACCGCTGGTTCTACAGAAGAGACCTGATCAAGACAGCAAAGTCTGTAGTTTTGTGGTATGAGGCGGCTCAGAAGGGTGACCTTCGCTGTTCACCTCGTCTGCACCCCTAGCTCGGAGGTCCTCGCTACCGGGGAGGGTAAGCCTGCAACGACTTGCTGATTCCTGCTGCCGAGATTGTCTGCGAGGCTGTACACCATGGCTACGATCCAGACGTCCGGACCGCCGTCCAGACGGTCCGGATTTGGTCCGGAATCCGGACGTCCGGTCCAGACGGTCCTGATCTGCCAAATTTCGAGAAAAAAAAAACAAAAAAAAAACGGTCCAGGACCCTTCCCCATTGAGGAGCCAAGCCCCCAAAATTGTTTTGAGGGTTTTTCAGGCCCGTTTATGCTTCTTTGGGGGGTCCGGACATGCTCTCTCTCTATAATAATTTATTAGACAACCCCAAGTTTTTTATTATCAATAATTCATTACCTTTTATTAGTTTTTTTAACTTTTTTAAGTCTTTTTTTAAGCTTTTTATAGTTTTTGACTTTTAACTCAAGTTTGGTTAGGAATTCTGACATGACTCTGAGGCAAAAGTGTTTTGCATTGTTATTCTGCATAACATACTTTGTTTTCAGATTTTTTTGTTTTTTTTAATGGTCCGGACATTTTCCGGACCTGTCCAGACATCCGGACCGTCCGGATCCCCCCATGTCCGGAGGTCCGTAAATGTCCGGAAACTACCGGACACGGGTCCGGTTCCATGTCCGGAAATGTTCGGGTCCAGGTCCGGCGTAGCCATGCTGTACACTAACCTGTAGGGTTAGTTTTGTAATTTTGTTTGGCTGAGGGCTAACCGAGAGATCCGCCTGTGTGGAAATTCGTGAGGGACAGATCTGTATTTTTTGGGAAAATACAGACCTGGCACTAACCGAGTTCCTACAGCTACCCTAACTGCCTATAGCAGGCCCGGGCTACTCCTAGGACAGACAGGCCCTAGGCGGCCTATACTGCTATACAGTCCTATAGCCTATAGCTGGGTCCGGTAGAGGCCGAGAGGCCGAAACAGCAGCGGTACCGGTAGGTCCAGTCAGTCCAGTCTAGGTCTAGGCTAGTGTAGGAAGTCTATAAGTCCTGTAGGGGAATCAAGTAGGGACTTTTGGCTTTTCATTTTTCGCGTGCAGCGTTGGTGGCCAACGAAGTTTAGCAGCGCTGAATGTCTACAGCGGCACCTGCGACATCA